TGAGCTATGAGGAAAGGATTAAGCAATAACAGGTACATTTAAACACGATAAAACCAACATACTGTATAACCCACAGCAGGTGATCAAATACAGACAAGGACAATATTTGGACAGGCCTAGAACAACTGACATTGCACTACATTACATTGTTTACATCACATATTTTATCTTACAATAATAGGATATTTTTTTAAAAAAATGTCATTACTGTAGTTATATCTGTTGAGCTTTTAAATATATTCAGTACATATTTATTATATGTCAGTGATAATTCATGCAAGTCAATATTGTTTTAAGTTCCAAAGGCAATAAAATGAGGATCAGATGAAAAAAATGATCTTTTGATCTAAAGTCATTATCATATTTTAATGACCCCATAATCCCTTGCAGGATGGAGCCAGGGCAACTGAATGGAGCTGAGTGATTACTGGCCAGATGCCCTTCCTGTCACCAGTGTGGAGTTATATTCAGCAAATATACTCATCATGCCCAGATAGAGAAATAGCTGCTTCTACCTAGGATTGAACTCACAGCTTCCCGATTGTGAGGCGAGAGCTCCACTCGAGGCCACCGCACCACTCATCTTTTGATCTAGAGTCCTATCTCTGAATTTCAGTGTGTGCTAAATCTTTATTTGCAAACTACCAAGACTAAAGCACCACCTAAGAGTGCTGCACTGGGGCTATAATTTGAGGAAACAGACTACAAACTGATAGAAATCAATTAATTTAGAAGCATGTTAGCAATGAAATGGGCACTAGGAACTAGGAATCAACTCTTAAAATGTTGGCAAATTACTCAGATTTCAGTTTTTTGAAGATAGATATGCATTCCCTACACAATAGGAATGTGTTCAAATGTACTTTTATGCCTTTAACAGAATATATTATTAATATTCAAAAGCCCAATATAACATGTCAGGCCAAGGTAGTGACATTCACTTTAAAATTATATTTCTGCTTTTATTCTGGTTAAAAATACATGATGTAAACAATGCAATAAGTACAATTGTACTTAATACTAGCATAATGTTAATGTAATTCTTGTTGCTTTGTTGCCCTCTGCTGGTTTTGTGATATATTCATTTGTATGCACTAAGTTACATAAATATGCATAAATACTAACTGAGCTTGTATGATCTCATTGTGTGAGCTTACGTTTTGGCTGGGTAATCCAGTTAGATTAAGCCATTGTGTGATTTAGGTGCTGGGAGTACTGTGTTGCATTGCATTAAGCTGTTGTGGTTTGTAAACCTTGGTTTATGATTTAGTGTAGCATGTGAATTTTGAAAGAGATGGGAAAAGAGACATAGCTATTAATTAGCCATCGAGAAGATTTTTTTTTTACTAAATACTTTCCAACTACTGTCTGATGCATAAACATCTGGTATTTCTTCACAGATAGCTTCAAGCAGTGCCAATCAAAAGTTATTGAGCAGGTCTTTTACCCTTTTTCTCCTTAATTGACATTTTTGGTAAAAAAATTAATAAATAGAGGAGTTGCAGAAAAGCATTACATACATTAATGTAGCACAACATTTATTCTAATGGGGAATAAAAAATCACAACCAGGTCTCACAGTTACTGCAGTAATAAAAATCTCCTCAAAACCACGCAATTGAAAAAGGGAAGTGAAAGAAATTGCTTGAACCTCTCACTTCATGCTGTGTGCTTCTGTCTGGTTGTATATACATCAGGGGTGGGATGCTACTAGTTCTGCCTGGATCTATAGAACCGGTAGCTCTGAAGAGCAGCAGACACTGAACCGATTCTGTGTTTGCTGCTGTTTGGCCCACCTGCCCGCCCGGGCTATTACGGGTCCTTTATTTCCTGCTTTTTCAACCTCAGCTGCTTTGCACAGCACAGCTGAGGTTGAAAAAGCAGGAAAAAAGAGACTTTTCAAACGCTGCACACCTGCACGCAGCGCTTTTCAGCTGTCCAGGTGGCACAGCTTAGGGTTTTCTACACGCACACACAAAATGTAGTCACCGAACCGGTAGTAACACTGGTTGAATCCCACCCCTGATATACATGTGCATATAAATACATATAGAAGTCGCAGCGTTTTGTTCCTATAGGGGTCTGAAAAGGCCTCAAGCCACCTTTGCCCTCTTTGAAAAATATGAGGTAAAATATGAGTGTAGTGAGGTAGATATTCATGTAAATGAACTCAATTCAATTGTTCATTCCTAATATTGTTATCTTTTATTTGCATATGTAATACCATATTATTCTAATGAAGCTTGATTGATTTATGCAACAACTTGAAAGCTTATCTATGTTTAATTATCTATTCCTCTATATCTCTTATAGAGGTGGGCGGCCTTATGGTATTAATACAATAAATAAATACATTTTTAAATTGATGGTTTTCTTTAACTGTTCTGGCTAGCTGAGGGGATTAGAATTTTTTAGCTAATTGCAATGATTACCCAAATAATTTTTGACTGATTTAAAAGACCATTCCACGAAATACAAATGCTTTGCAAAACCAGACATAAATGCAAAGCATAAAAATGTAGAAACGTATTATATACATAAACCTCTAGTTGTTTTCAACAAAGAAACAAGGAAGACAAGCAATCATACCAAATTTAAAGTTTTTCTCTATGTGATTAAAATTTCCCAGCCTTCCCTACCCTTTCCCTCTTTTTAAGTTTTATTCATATATGCTATTTGTTCATTGTTAATTAAGATCATAGCGGTTGTAGACACTTGTATGATATCGAAAATGAATTTAAAGTGTATACTTTGTGATTGGAACATTATATTGTTACAGCTATAAACATTTATTATTGAAATATCAATAATAGTAATAATAATAACAGTTTCATTTACAGATAGCAGAAATGCAATTCAGCAGAATGAACTGCAATGTTTGAAGGCAGCTAAAGAAGAGAAGAACGGTGCCCTTGGAAGTCAAAGGGCTGGATAAAAAGTGCTACAATCACATTTCATACCATTTGGCACCATCTGCCAGGAGCCTCCAAATGACCTTCTATGCAAAGTGAAGAGGCAGCTGATGCCTCTCTGTGATGGAATTTGGGAGCTGGCAAGCAGTGAGGGTTCTTCTGAATGAATGCCACCGATCATGCTTTGCCAGCAGGTGTTGCTATCTACCCTGGGAACAAGCAGCTTACAGCAGCTGCATTAGTTGAAACTATTTCCCTGCTGATATTGTCTATAAAATTCAGAAAGTGCGTGCTACAACTGATGTTTCGCAAGCCAACCAACTTGTCATTTATTAAGCATTGTGAGGTACGACCATCTCTTCTGGATGTAAAATTATAGTGTGAATGTCAGATGTTCCCAACCCTTTTTCCTCATTCTGTATGCAATGGGTGAGGTCCTTGATAGGATGGGTCAGCCCAATTATGAGCAAGTTCAATTTGCCTCTTGCGTCCTTTCAATACCGTATATAGCTGGCCTTTGTATTGGAGTAGCTATCTCCAATGGCAGTAGCCTGCCCACTTCATTTTTGCAGGGTAACCTCAGTTCGAATCTATTAGGTGTTGTTCTGCACTGTCAGAAATATGTATGTATGAATGGTGATTGACATGGGAAGAACTTTGTGCACTGAATATTAAGAGTTATTTAGTGGTTCTCTTGTTGGGATGACTATGAGTTATCCATTGTCAGAAAAGGGCTATTTTCTTTCTGTTTTTCTGTCCTTCTCTGTCTCTCTGTCTCTCTGTCTCTGTCTCTGTCTCTGTCTCTGTCTCTGTCTCTGTCTCTGTCTCTCTCTCTCTCTCTCTCTCTCTCTCTCTCCCCCTATCTATCATCTCTGATTCTCTCTCTCTCTCTCCTCCATCCATCTTTCTTTCTTTCTATCTATTCATTTATTTTATATGGCCAATCAAATTACTCTAAGCAGCTAACAATAAAACAGCCACTATATACACACACACACATGAAATAGACAATTGGCAGCCAAACTTTTCTTTAAAAATCAATGCAAATATAATGCAAATATTTTTTTAAAACCCTATTTGGTATTTGCCTACTGGACATCCTTCCCTTTCAAGGGAATTCATGCATTACACTGTAATAACATTTAACTGAAAGGCTTCTAAATGTGCCGAGACTAATTTTTTTTTAAAAAAAACCCACCAACACATCTAGAGCAGGAGTTTCAAACTTGCAGCACTTGCAGATGCATCACACGCTGGCCATGCCCAGCCCCGGTTTAGCAAAGGTAAAAAAAAAAGTTGCAATACTCACGAGATGACAATGTATTGTTGAGAGTTTAACACCCCTGATCTAAAGGATATCTGGTTAGTGATGGTTGACATACAATATTTTGTAACTGAGGTAACTGAGTTAGACCTGTCTCCAAGTTATTTTTGTACAACTGAATGTACAGCACATAAGCCTAATATTCTCTTACAATAATAATTTCTTGACAGTTGTATAGTTTATTTCCTATACTTCCATGTTTCAAACGATCACTTTCCAACACTGCTTAAGCTTTCTGTTTTGTGGAGAGCAATTAGAAGGCAACATATGTTGTCTTAAACTTGTAACAATTTATTTAAAAAGATCCTCTATTATACCAGTTAATCCTCTTTTTTATTAGTGTGTCTGACTTTGAAGGTAATATAAATGTAAAAAGAAAGAGCCACTGAACTGCAACATTTCCCCCAATAAATTTGAGAGTATTGTCCCTTTATTTTTGTTTTGTTTTTCTTTTGTTTTATTGCCAAGGGAGATATCTGGATTCTGACTGATACTAGAGAAAAGATGTGTGAGTGTGTGTGTGTGTGTGTGTGTGTGTGTGTGTGTGTGTTTCCTCTCCTTAATGGTGTTTGGGAGCACTCTACCATAATCCACCAAGATCTGAAAACATTATTCTACTAACCACATAAGGACAAACTCTGCATGTTTAAGCAAGGTCATGTAAGTAGATGCCCAGCACTTGCAGGATTAGGCCATAGACAAAAGACTTCTCTGAGCCTGATTTATTGTAGCAACAGACCATAGCAACAGCTTAAGTTCATAGCAATGGTGAAGTGCTCACACACTTTTCCTGAAAACCGGAGGGTAGAACTACTTGTTCTATTTTGTTTTACTCATGGGCTGCACTTCCAGCCAAGCAGTTATCAAGAAACCAGAATCCAAAAATCAGCATCATGATAGAGAAATGCCAAACCAGGTAATCTTTAAATCTTCTCTCTGCTTCCATTATTCATGTATTGTTCTTAGGTTGATGTTTAATTTCCTTTATATTGGAGATAACTGGAAGATGTAAAACAAGATTGCAATGTCCATTATTTTGTTTATTTATATACTTATGGGACGCAGTGAAGACAAATAGCACGCTGCAAAAATGTGCCCTTCTTGTACCTGATTTCTAATCAGAACAACCTGAGAAACTATCTTACCCCTTCACATAGACCCATCCCACTCGATCAGATAGGGAAAGTATGTTACAGATCCTATTGGTTAAAAAAAAAATTGAATTGGCGGGACCCAGAAATTGCCATTGCCTTCTTTGGAATATCCCCCCCCCCCAAAAATTAGTCAGGTCCCACTCTCCTCACCTTTCAGAAGGGTGTGAAGACCTGGCTAAGCCAACTTGTGTGGGGCTCACTGTGTAGCATGCAACCCAGGGAGTGGTTAGCCCTCTGAAGGCATTCCCTCTGCCTTTTAGCTTTTAATTTATACTGTCTTTGTTTTTAGCTGGCTCCCATTTTACTGATGTACTGTATGTTTATGGGGGGGGGGTGGCTCAGAGGTTAAGATGTTGGGCTTGTCGGCTGGAAAACTGACACTCCAGGTTCAAGACCTGAGCTGCACATTGCAGGATGAGCACCCATCCTTGCTCCAGCTCCTGCAACCTAGCAGTCTGAAAGCATACAAATGTAAGAAATGGCATATGAAAATCATTTTTATGAAAATGAATACTGGAATAAAATAGTTTTCTTGTTCAGTCTTGACTACTTATTCTGAATACAGTCTTCAGGTTCCTTCTGAGAAAAATCTGTTACTGCTATTCCCAAAATATAACTATTTCACTTTTTCCTCCTTAATAGAGTTTTTAACGGGGAAAAATGAACATTGTAGTGGGTCTGACTTTGTCTTCCACTGCCATAAAACTCTGAATGGGGCAAGGCAATCTATAGGCTACTCATAACCTTTAACTGGGTGAAAAAGTGCATCATAGGGCAACAATGTTTGAACCAAAGTACCTCAAATGGCCTGACTTACAGAAAGCGTCCAAGATCTAGGACACAGGACTCTCAAGGACTTGAAATTTGGTTAGACTTTATAAAACATTTTATGACATAAAAGTTATCATAAAACAGTTCATGACATAATACAAAATGTCATAAAACATTTCCTGTTCCGTTGTTTGACTGTGCTATACATTTCAACATGGGCTCCTTCCAAACTACCCTGTTTCTCCAACAATACGGCCTCCCCCAATAGGAAGTCCCAGCATGTTTTATAGGCATGAAATGAAATTAAGCCCCTCCCCCCAAATTAAGGCCTATATTAAAACATGCGAAATAGGGGGGAATGGTAGGGGGGCTTGCCGTTAGGAAGTACTTTTGTTGCACACCCGGATATGGTGCTGCCTGCGTTGACCCCGAAACGAAGTGCCCCACCAACGCTGAGGTCAACATCCAAGCCGTCACCGCCCGCCTGAAGATGCAAGGGGGGGAATTAAGTCACCCCCGAAAAGATGGCCTAGCCATTATTTCGGGGCTCAAAAAAAAAATAAGACCCAGCCTTATTATATGAGAAACACGGTAGATGTATCTCTTAATGTACCCAGAACAATCACGTTGCCTGAGCCATTTCTATCTGGAAGAGGCAGTGCTATCTTTTCTTTGGAGCCAAACCATTGAGGGCTTTCTGGGCAACAACCGGCACCTAGAGGATGATTGGAACCCAACATAGAGCTTAAAGGACAGGTGTCGTCTGTTCACAGCAGCAAATTGTGTCCCAACAGATATGGGAAAAGTCAAATTAGGGAAGTCAGTGGTCAGCCAATCTCTCAGCCAACACTCCCACAAGTGTGCATGCAGGCACACACAAACACATCAAATACTGTATATGCATAAAGTATGCTGTAATTTATTTTTTAGGCTAGAAGAGAGAAAATATTTCTTGGCACAGATAGCCTCGTCTCACAAGGGGGGTCAGCAGATGCAGATGATTCCTGTGGAAGAGGCTTGCCAGAAGATGGGATGAAGGGATCCCAGTCCATCAAAGAACAAAGCAAAAGTCAACATATGGGTGTGTGTTATAAATGATAAAAGAGGGGTGTATCATAGGGAGAAGAATTATTCAAGAACCATCATTCTGATGTATAGAGTGTTTCTTGCATGATTTGCATAATTTAGAGATGAGGCCTTGTGATACAGAAGTAAAATGCATGCCTAGCTGTCTCAGATTGACACCTGGGCTTTCGTCCCATCTTTGCCCTTCCTGTGTCCTTCAATTTCTTTGCATATTAAAATCTTTTTCTACAGATACACATTGGCAGGCATTCCAGTATAATTCTTGAGATGGGCATGGGAAGGGTTGCTCTTGGGTACTGGTGGGTTATTATACCGGTTGACCATTTGAAATTGTTAGATTGCCAAGCTATCACTATTACTGATGAGCTCTATGTGCACAAATGGCAACACATAGAAGAATAAGCAATAGCAACAGCTTTTAGATTTATATATCACTTCACAGTGCTTTACAGCCTTCTCTAAGCAGTTTAACGAGCCAGTATATTGGCTCCCAACAGTCTAGATTCTCATTTTACCAACCTCAGAAGGATGGAAGGCTAAGTCAACCTTGAGCTGGTAAGGATTGAACTGTTGGCAGTCCACAGAATTAGCCTGCAATACTGCATTCTAACCACTGCGCCTCAGGGCAGGAATATACAGCATAAGAAGATTAAGTAAAAAGAAAGGCACAAAAACTACAGCTGGGCAATGTGGATAATACTGTTTAATTACACGCGTGTACAAAACAGTGTTTGGGTTGGTTTTAAAGTTTCATTTGCTAGTTGGTTTTACTATAAACCAAACTGTCTTGTAGAAATGATAAATAAAATTAAGCATCGTGCAACATTTACATATATTTTTGGTGGGGTTGGGATGAAAGGGCAATAAAATTGTAGCGATTAAAGATCCAAATTAGCTGAATTAATGGTAAAAAAAGTTATGATGTAACATTTTTTAAAAAATGAACTCAAAATACGTTTTAAGGCTATTTGAGATTGAAGTGAAGAAAGATTATTCCCAAGAGTATTGTAATTTATACTTTTTTCCTTCTTTTTCTAACTCCTTCCCCCATGTATTCAAGCACTCTAAATGAAAATATGAATTAATTAATATTCTTTTAATTAATTTGATTGAAAATACAAAAAAAAAAACCAAGCTGATTAATCATTCTCTCCACTTAAAAATAATTCAAAATATTTAGGTGCCATTAAATCACTTAGCAAGCTAGAAACAGAAAGACAGACATCATCAGACATTTTGGAAGAACTTCGGATGCAAGGAATAATCAAGACTTCATGCCCAACCACTAAAAACAGAACTGCAGAAGATACCATGGTAAGTAAGGTGACAAACCGTCCTCCTTTAGGGAGGACAGTCCTCCTTTTGTAAGTTCTGTCCTCTCTCAAAAAGTGTCTTCCTACATATCCTTCTTTTTGATATTTGAAGACTAATCTGTAAATCTCCGTATTTGATCGATGCCAAGCCAATCGGTTGTGTGTAATGTGACGTATTTGTATTTGACATGACAATTTGTCAAAGCTCGTTACAGTGCAGCGAGACGCGATTATGAGACGCATGCGCTCCGCACAGGAGAATTGTTTTGAGAGAGTGTTCCGCGCGCAAGTGGCTTTGTTTTTTTTTCCTTCAATTTATTTGTGTCATTCTTTTCATCGTAAAAAAGTTGGTCACCTTATGGTAAGGGTTCTTCAAAATCAGCTCAATATACTTTAGGTTTGAGATGATATTTTGCATGTAACCTATGAATTACTCCAGAAATGGGTCTTTCTTCTAGGTGTGAAAATTTATGTTTTTCTGAAGGTTCCACTTCTTCCCAGTTGCTCCTTACATTTGAAACTCTTCCCCAAACAGCTTTGTTATCAATTCCCCCACCCCCTCTAAAAATACAGTTCCTGGGAAGTTTACAGACTTTCAATTCTGTGCTAAAAATAGCCAAAAGTACAAGCAAACAGAATAAGTAGGCCTGAATTACTAGCATGCCGGGGGCATGGTGGTGTAATGGTTAAGACGCTGGGCTTGTCAATCAGGAGGTTGGCAGTTCAAGACCCAAGTATGCATGAAGGAGTGAGCTCCCATTCTTGCCCCAACTCCTGCCTGCCTAGCAGTTTAAAAGCATGTAAATGCAAGTAGGTAAATAGGTACAACTTTGATGGGGAGGAAAACAGTGTTCTGTGTGACTCAGTGTACAGTCATGTTGTCCACCTGACCATGAAAGATCTTTGCACAATGCTGGCTCCCTCAACCAAAAAACAGAGATGAGCACCACCCCATAGAGTCGGACACAACTGGACAGGAGAAACCTTTATCTTTACCTTTAGGAAGTTCTCTGACCTACTTCATACTGATACTAACCATAAATCTCCTATAAATTCATTTCCTGAAACTGGGGATTAATTGACTTACTGCAGAAGAGTTTACTTGAACACAAAACACTAAAATCATGTTGATTTTAATTACAATTTGTTGAAACGAACTAGCTTCATAAATCCTGGTCCAAAGTTGGTCTATTTCAAATAAGCATACATAGGCAAGATTAACTGTGTGTGCTGGAATTAAACAACATACAAAGAGAAAAATAGAAACTAAACATTCTAAATAGAAAGTAAAACATTCTAACTTTCTTCTTGCAAACATGCTGAAGAATAAAAAGGAAACATGGTACCAGAGGAAATCTAGTTCAGTGGGCTTTTTAATGAAATTGATACCTGACTTGCAAAAAGCATGATTAGCTTCTGGTAATTGCTTATACGAATGTACTCAAGCTCGCCACACTAATGATCAATTTTACCTATGTTTATTCTGAATTGAATTCTGATATATCTATTTTTAAAATATGCTTCAACTTTCAAAAAGGTTGAATGCCAACAACAACAAAAAATACAAAGCCGTGATAAAAATGATACCGTAACACTGGTCTGGTTCATTACATGATTTTAAAAAAACCTTGTGAAAATGTATAGCATATTCTGAAATTGCATTTCAAACCATAGGTATTTATCAAAGGCTGCAATATGATAAAATGTGTGTTGTGATCCTCTTGAGGTATATGATTTCATACTTGCAGGCAATGTCCCAACACAAATATCAAAGAGTAGAGCAAGAGTAGTAATGTCACACTCCATCATTATTTAACGAGCTACTATATAAGACTAGATGGAATTAGTGCTGCAATAAACATACAAGTAAAGCAGTTTGCAATGAACTTTAATTGATATAGCAAGTGCAAGCATCCATAACAATATTCCTGAATATTTTGCTACACCACAAATGAAATAAAATTTCCTCATGATCATATCAGAGTTTGCAATGTTGTGAAAGAAAACAGAGCTATTCATTATCACAGTGCAATCAACAAGCATGATATTGAGTCAATGGGACCAATAAGTTGGTGTCTCTATTAAAGCAGTATTCTGTATATGTTATCCATTTTATCATTAAATGTTATTCTCTAGTCATTCTTAACCCCTCTCCCCAAATTATGATGCAGAGAACTGAGCTACAATAGAAACAAACCTTCCACATTATTGCGAGAAGTAGGCAGTTATGAGGAAGATTTTAGTGAAAAAATTCCTTCTTAAAATAAATATAAACCTTGAGGTATAAACAAAGGTTTATTTATGCAAATATGAAATGGGAAGAAAAAACAGAAGTGTTCACAGGCACACTTAGTAATGCAAGTCTGGCTTAGCTAGTACTTGTTATCTGCTGCAGAGGTGGTATTCAGCAGGTTCTGACCAGTTCTGGAGAATCGGTAGTAGAAATTTTGAATAGTTTGGAGAACTGGCCAATACCACCTCTGACTGGCTCCGCCCCCATCTATTCTCTGCCTCCTGAGTCCCAGCTGATTGGCTGGGTCTTCTTTTGTTGCGCTGCACAGGAGAACGGAGCTGGAAAGCTGGTTAGTGGGGTGGGGAGGGAATGGGATTTTGCAGTAACCTTCCCCCAGGAGTGGGGAGGGAATGGAGATTTTACAGTATCCTTCCCCTGCCATGCCCACCAAGCCACGCCCACCAAGCCACATCATGCCCACCAAGCCATGCCCACAGAACCGGAAGTAAAACATTTTGAATCCCACCACTGATCTGCTGGGATAAGAAGTTAGACTTTGATGTAGTTTATTGTTCTGCAAACTATCTGATTTTTCTGATTAGATTTTGTTAAGAAAATGCTTAACAATAAAAATAACAATTTAGAAAAAACATACAGTTATTTTGTCCAATAACTTGATATTCACTGTGACTTTTGTGGTCTGGTTCAGCAAATCAGCAAATTATTTAGTTTTGTCCTCAACTTTTCAATAATCCGTGCTGGAAGTATAAAATGTCTAAGTCCAAATATAAAATATTGCACAAACTGGCTTAAGTTTAGAATATGTACCTGGAAATTGAAGGTGAGAATACAGAATTGTCTGTCATGATATTAATTTACTATGCATTCAAAATGACACTGTTGATCTGGATCAGAATCTCAAATGTTAGCCACAATCACCTTTTAGAGCATAATAAATTTTAAACCCAGATGTACATTGTAAAACTGCAAATTACCAGAGCTGAATGAAAAGTAATACCTCTAATGTTGTAAGTCACCAACAGATGGCAATACGATGTGTTCTGAGGTGTTGTTCAGCATCTGTTCTTTCAGTTCAGTTGTCAGGAAGTTGCTATGAGAAAAATGTTGTGATGCTTTTGTTACTGAAATGGAAATCTGCAATGAATGCCACTGCGTTTTAAGCAACATGCCACGATTGAATGTTTACTGCTGAAGAGTCCCTCCAATTGAAATTCACCATTAGTGCAGATTGTTTATAGTGATGACTGTTTTGATGTGAATACCATGTCATTGAGCCAAAAAAATGTAAAGATGGTGAACGGAGAAGAGTTGATTTGTGTGATTAAGGATAAGTGGATGACATATGACTGCAACTTAACAGAATTCATTTGAAAAAGTTTAATAAACTAATTAAGGACAATAGGTAGGTTATGGAAAGGGAACAGCTGTCAAGCTTGGCATTTCACAGGAATGTGCAGATTGCATTATTGATGTTCCTCAATATCAAAAGGATAGTGCTGGTCTGTGACAGTAATAAAGATTGAAAAGGATTGTGCAAAATAGGCTCCTTGCGTGCTGACAACAGAAAGGAAAGATTCAAGAACTGGAATTTGCCAGCAACTGTCATTCTATCAGAAGGAAAGTGAGGAATTTCTTCATAGCATTGTGCGAGCCTATGAAACATCATCATTAAGACCCCAAAATGAAGCATCAAGCTATGCAATATCATCACAAAACTCAGATGTGGGGGGGGGGGGGTTTCAGAAAACCAAAGCTTCAAGATTACAGTTTTTTAGAATGCAGATAATGTTATTCACATGGATTTCCTAGAACCCAGCAGCGCTATCAGCTCAGAGCACTATGCTGTATTAGTCAAAATTTTAAAGCAATTAAGCAGATTTCTGAAGGATAGGAAGGAAATTGTTTTGTGGTGTGAAAGACCTCACATTTCTTGAGCTATCCAAGAGGCAATTGCAAAGCTGAATCTTATTATCTTACATTACTCAATACTCCATCCAGTTTAATGTCATGCAACTTCCACCTTTTCCCAAAACTGAGGTAAAGCTTTCATGGGTATCTATTTTATTAACATGAAGATGTGGAAAGGACTGTCAGGACCTGGTTGAAGAGGCAAAGAAGCAACTAACTATGATTATGTGGAAAAATAAATAGAGGTAACAAAAGAGGTCATCTCAAGAATTATTTTCCTGGTTCATATATTAAAATATCCCTATTTAAATTAAAATTATGTAAGTGATGGTATTTTTATTCAACTTTCATAAATACTACTTAGTTTCTATTTCCCCTTTTTATTTCCCAATGTTTTTAATTTATATTTTCATAATTTGAAATTTATATTTTCATGTAAATATATAGAGTAGAACTGCTTGTTTTCTTTCAAAATACAATATTCCCATCACAAATTATCTTGTATTTCCACAGCTGGTGCCTGCAGAAAGGACACCACAAAAACCACCAGCCAAACTGGAAAAGCTTGAACTTAAACAGAAGAAATTGCATGCTTTATCAACAGAAGACTTTGAAAATAAGGTAAAAAAAAAACACATATGAATTTACTCCACTTTATATTAGCATTTGCATATCTGGTTATCAAGGATACATTAAATACAGAAGGCCCTAGACCAGGGACATCAAACTTATGTTGTCATGGCAGCATCATGTGACATATTGGACTTTTTCCCCCTTTGCTAAATCAGGCGTGGGCATGGCCAGTGTGTAATGCATCCGGCCCGTGAGTTTGGCAGCCCTGCCCTAGACTATCCTAATCCTCAGTAAATATATCATAGAGAGCTGTGAAATACATCCCCAGTTTTGTTTACCAAAGATTGTAGAACTGGATGTTCCCAATAGAAAGGTATCTCAGTTCTAATTCTGCATAACATCTGAATCAGAAAAATATGTGCATATTCCAAACCAGTGCCTGGATGCAGTGATCAATAGAAGAGGGCAATAAACAGGGAATGTTTTTGAATAAGTCAGAAGTTTTGGGATTGGGTGGGCCCAAGTTTCAGGAAGGGGGAGTTGACTTGTTCTAATGAGACTGCACCTCTAGCCAGTGCAGAACGTAAGAGGCAGGTTGCTCGCTGGGGCTTGAGGATGCTCTTTGCGAATGAAACAATTGCCTGGAGTGCAAGTTACCAAGTCAAGCTCAACATTTGATTTTAACATACAAAGCCCTAAATAACTTGGGATTGGCATACCTGTCACACAAACACTGTATCTGCTGTTATAGACCCAGACAATCACTAAGATCAGAACTCCTGAATGACATCTAGGAGCTGGTCAAAGGCAGGTTTCTGAGATGTTATCCATGATTCAGAATGCTCTTGTCTCTGAAACTTGGGAAGTGTTTCCTATTACAATTTTAAGGCTCCTGTTGAAGCATTCAGCCAGGAGGTCCTGATATGAATGTTGGAAGAAAGCTTCCTCTGCATTTTCATTATGCTTTAGTTTTTAATCTAGGAATACATTGTATTGTTTTAAAATGCTGTTTATTGCATATTTTATTCTTGATTCGGCTGAAAAGAGAAAGCTACCCTGTTTCTCCAACAATACGGCCTCCCCCAATAGGAAGTCCCAGCATGTTTTATAGGCTTGAAATGAAATTAAGCCCCTCCCCCCAAATAAAGGCCTGTATTAAAACATGCGAAATGGGGGGGAAATGGCGGGGGGGCTTGCTGTTAGGAAGCACTTTTGTTGCACACCCGGATATGGTGCTGCCTGCGTTGACCCCGATACAAAGTGCCAACGCCGAGGTCAACATCCAAGCCGTTGCCGCCCGCCTGCCCGAAGATGCAAGTGGGGGGAATTAAGTCACCCCCGAAAAGACAGCCTAGCCATTTTTTCGGGGCTCAAAAAAAAGACCAGGCCTTATTGTATGAGAAACACGGTATTTAGAAATAATTTAATTAGATTGAAATAAATCAAGAGATGGAGATCAGGTTATGCTCTTTCTCTGTAATTCTACTATACCTGTATTCTCACAGGTTGACTCCATCCATATTAGTAATTTCTTAATTAGGGCTAGTTTTGTGTGTATGTGTGTGTGTGTGCACAAATGTGTGTTTGGTATTCAAAACTGTGTTATGCCTAGCCTGTCTAAAGACTAGTCTCTTTTTAGACAAGAGAAGAGCAACTGAAAACTGAAAAAAGCAACGGACTAGAATTGCTGACTGATAGATCGTCACCAATAATTCCTCCTAAAAGGGGAGTACAGATAGGCAGTTCTATAATTACAACAACTCCCAATAGTTTTCAATTGCCACCTTTAAGTGTGGGGACAGAAACCTGGCCAGAGAAGGAAGAACTAGATGACAATATAAACAATGACTTTGAAGATTTTACAATGGTGGAGTCAGATATCACTTATAATACAATTGATGGAGTATTCTAATCACCAACATTTGTATCAAACATTTTCATCTCTAACAATTTTAATACTATTGCTACCAATAAAGGCTGCTGGACTCTGAAATACACAGATTCTTCTGCTTTCTGAAGTGGCCTAAGGGTTTTCCTCTCCTTCCCTTTTTAAATTTCAAAAGAAAAATAACATACAGTTCAAGACTGTGCCCTGGCTTTGCTTCTGCATTGGCAAATCTCAACTAAAAGCCCACAAAAAAGCAATTAAATTAAATTAATCCTTGCCCATAGAACTCTGGCTTAGCTTTTAAAATAAATGAATAAATAAAAGCTCTTGTGCCATCTTATTAAAAGGAAATATGCCAATCCCCAGATTTTAAGATTGTTTTCTTTATGGCCCATCTGAAAGGGAGAAGAAAATCAGGGTTTTCCTTGTCCTGCTATTAAGAGATATTCTAATTGGAAAAGCTGAAAAATAAAATCAGGGAAATTTATATATAAACCTGTGCTATATGATGAGGGTTCATTGCTTAAAAATTATGTATATTGTGCTTCATCTGTGCATTTGTGCAAGTTAATCTTTGCATTCTTCCAATGTAACCAGTATAACAAATATATACAAATAAGCACACATGTGAATATCAATGGGACTGGCTGGTATTCAGCTGGCACTATGTCCACCACACAACCTGCATTCCAGGTAGGGAATGTAAATCTCCCTGGCTAGTTTCTCTGTGCCTTATCTTTTCATTCTTCCTTCCTCACCAGTTCCTGTGATTTTCCTTTCCTGCTTGCAAATATGAAGCTTTCATACCCCTTTCTGATACTATCTCCTTTGAAACTATTGCAGATTTCCCCCTCACTCTTTTTCCTATTTTATTGAGCATAAATAAAGTTGCTCTAATCATGCTATAATAATCAAAGCAACAGAGGACCAGGTTGTTCTTTCATTCCTGCTTTCCTCTGAAGGTCCAAGAAAAATTTGTATATAAAAAAGAAGAACTGGTAGTTCTCTTTCACAGAATACAGAATTACCAGTTCTTTCTTTCTACAGGGTTTTTAAAAAGGGAAGGAAAGATTGGCAGTACTAATCTGCTAATTTAAAAGCAAGCAAAGAGAACTGAGGTAGATTACATGTGGAAGTTGTAAGGTTTGAGTTTCTGGGGGTGAGGATTTTTCATTTTGGCTGCTCCATGGGCAGCCATATTATAAGCAAGCAAGAATGCAGAGGACACAACAGACCAGGACAAAATGGCTGCCAGGGACAGTGACCCATTGCCAAATTGGAACAAAGTGCTCAAGAGCTTCCACTCTTAATGGCTTAAGATGGCTCCAGTCAGAAAACAGCAGTTTTGAACTGAAGCTGGAAAACTCAGACATGTGGAGCATTTGCAATGGGATGGGAGTGAGAAGAAAACAATGTCATCCATTCCTGAACTCAGGGACAGTGACTGGCCCATGCTGGTCATAGGCCAGGCAGAAATTGTAGCTCTCTTTTGAATTTCATCAATGTTGGGTTGCACTCAGTAAGGATTCCTCTGTTCAATTTCCATTCTCATATTGCACCGCCTAACATTTTTACCAGTCCAGACTTCATGATTGCAAGATGAAAGCACAATAAATAGTGTCCAACAATATTTAATTATGAGTCCTTGATCCCTGTAACCACATACTAGAGTCCCCGCTCCTTTCCAAAATAATAATAAAATTGATCAGTGACCAGCGTTTGCTGACAACTGCTTGAATGCCTTGATTGTACTTAGTTGATTCTGCCAGGGAAACCAACAGGATCAAGATGATTGTCACAATCATATAATCACAATGTATATAAAAAGAACATATAGTTCTCCTTTTGATCAGATAGTGGTGGCTGCCATTATGACTTTTCTTTTACCCCCTTGCTCACGTCCATGGGATCTTGCCAAAAATGCATGTGAAAAACTGTGAAAAACATGCATGCAAATTTCTGTGTAGATCCAGCAAAATAAAACCTGGATTGCCTAGTACTTTATTTCTTCTTTCTGGTTATCTGAAACTATAAACCAGAACAGGGGGAAAGCAAAGTGCAGCGGGAGGCAAATAGAGGCATTTATTCACGCTGGAAGAAGCAGAAAGTTAGAGAACAAATCTTCTGTTACTGTCTCGGGCTTCAGATCGGGAAATCCAGTTAAAATCCAGTCACTCTATGAAATAGTGGGCTCACCTAAAGCTCTTTTTTCTTTGACATAGTTCTATCTGCCCCTCCCCGTCAATAATATGGAGACTAAAACTATCAATGTAACTGTTCTCTTCTCAAGAGCTGCAGGAGATAGCCCAGAAGTTTCATTCAAATACTGTTAAGTGAGATGAGCCACATTCAGAAAATTTACAGGGTCACATAGAAAGTAGATGGATCGACTTTAAAACATCCAACAAAATATCCAAGGCTTTCATTGTGTTAAGTTTCAAGATTGTTGCTTGCTCCCTTAAAGTGATGTTGTAGGCATTAACAATGAGATCCAATTAGGCAGCCAAAAGAAAGGACTTCAGGAACCCCATATTACAAGGGCCACACAAATTAAGATAGGCAGGAAGGTTAAAGTCTCTAACGTTGTGCGTGTTTACATGAATTTGTGTTTGAAAGTATAGGAATCAATGTGTAAGTATGTAAAAAGGCATTTGGGCATTTGTAGTGTAGGCATGGGGGAGTATGAAAGCCTTCAAAGTTCCTGCCAAATTATTAGTAGTCCTCGACTTACAACCACAATTGAATCCAAAATTTCCATTGCTTAGCAAAGTTGTTAAGTGTGTTTTGCCCCATTTTACAACCTTTCTTCCCACAATTGTTAAGTGAATCACTGCAGTTGTTAAGTTAGTCACCCGGTTATAAAGTGAACCTGGCTTCCCCATTGTCTTTGCTCATCAGAAGGTCACAAGAGGTGATCCCATGACCCTGGGGCACTGCAACCATCATAAGTATGAATTTTGATCATGTGACCATGGGAAAGCTGCAATGGACATAAAAATGTGAAAAACAGTCGTAAGTCACTCTTTTCAGTGGTGTTGTAAGTCGAGGACTACCTGTATAAAATTCTCCAAATGACTTTGGGCTACTCCCAGCCTAGCTATAGAGTTGGTTGCGGGGAATAAAACAAAGCCACTTCAAAGTCTTAAGAAAAGGCAGGATATAAATGCAAAAGTAATAATAATAATAAAGCGGTTATGCTATGCCTGTCACATGACATATAGCAATCACCTCTCTAGGGTATGCTCTTTCTAGACAGTACAAATATAGCAACCATATTATACACCACCACCATTGCCTCAGCCCAAATTACCCTCCATAAAATGCCGCATTCATTCTTGAGTTCATTGTGCTGGCAGAACAAATTGCTGGATGGAGGATTTGCATATGCATTTTTCCTCTAGAACTGCATTAAGTAAAACAAAATTTAGAGGAAGAATGAATTGGATGATATTATGATGAAGTTCATTTCTAAAAGTGAGGATTAGCATATTTAGTTTAGAATGGGAAAACAAACCCCACATCACCCTGAAATTGGCTGCTAGACAGTATTTATCTGTCAGCCTAATTATCTTCTTGGGTTGTTGCAAAGGTAAAATAAGTTTATCAAAATGACAAATGTGGGTAAGACACATTATAAATAAATAAATGTATCCTTGCTTATTACAGGATAAAAATGTAACAAATAAATATTTCGCTGTTTTATGATACAATAATAGTCACCTATATTTAGGGGTATCACACATTCCTAAATTACAATTTAGCAGCTGTTGGCATAGATCTTCTGTACTAGATCAGTTCAGCTGTTTGGAATTCTATTAACTCAATGTTGGGTAAATATTTTAGAAATAAATATTATTAATCAGCAAAATGAAAGAGCAAAATCAAATTAGAATAATAGAATAACAAGAGTTGGAAGGGACCTTGGAGGTCATTTAGTCCAACCCCCTGCTCAGGCAGGAGAGTCTACTCCAAATATTAGCCTCTATCTGGGATCGAAATCACAGCCTCCTGATTGTGAGGTGACAGCTCCATCTCTATGATCTTCCCAAAGTATCATTCATTCATATACAAATCCATATATCCATATATCCCCATATTTATTTCGAGAATAGGATATTATATATTTGAATTTAAATAAGTCCATGCTTAAAGAAACAATATTCATCCATTCAGTATCTCTTGGTATATTCAGTGCAGAAAAAAACTATAGTAGTATTTTATACATTCATATACAGTAACTGAAATATAAAGGAAGAAAAAACTGTGATGAAGTATTTGGATAGAAACATAAATGAAACAGCCCAGTGGCAAAGACCAAACTGGATCTCCCCTATGGAAGCTATATTATATCCAAATACAAGGGACATTAAAAAAATGATTAGATATAAAGAATTGGTAGATGTACAGGGGGAATTAAAAACACTGGATAAACTAAAAGCACAAGGGATAATATTAGACTGGTGGGTATATTTGCAAATTCAAACTAAATTTAAGAAAGATGTAAAGGAGCTAGGGATAGATAAAGATTTATAAAAATTGGACCAAATCTTGACAGGCAAGGATATAAAATTTATAACACGAACATATAATTATTTACTGGAAGTAGAACTAGAGGAGGAAATTGTTAAGGGACCAATGATTGCCTGGGTGAGAAATGTGAGTCATAATATACATTTGGATGAGTGGGAAAAGACTTAGACCGAGAACTGGAAGCTGACTTTGTCGACGGCATTCAAAGAAAATCAATATAAAATGTTTTGTAGATGGCACTTAGTGCCGGCACAACTGGCGAAAATGTATCCAACCTTGAAACTGGAATGCTGGAAGTGCAAACAGAAGAAAGGAACGTTTTTCCATATGTGGTGGCAATGTATAGAGGTCAAAAAATACTGGAAGAAAATACAGAGATGGCTTTTTGAGATTACAAAATATAAATTGAAATTGGAACCCAAAACATTTTTATTAGGTATGATTAAAGGGAATTTGAGTAAAGATAAAGGATACCTTATTGTACACATCTTAAC